TGAACCACGAAATTAAAATAGCAAATTAAATATCATACACATACTAATACACTCCTGAAATACTATAAATATACCACAAACAATTCTTTTTCATCACAAATGGAGTGTAGATGGAAATACACATTCTAAACAGCTATCATCTTGCAACATTTTAAAATTAAGTAATAAATTAAAGCCAAATTATTTAATGAAATACAACATAATTTGAAAAAAGTAAATAAATTTTATATTACTATATAAAAATGTTTTCAAATGAACAATTAGTTTTTTTTAATATATTTATTACTGCAGCATTTTTTAAAATTAACTATGCTTTATAGCCTACCACATCTCACATTTAATTAGGTAAATAAATTCATTTACATATCTAAAACAACCTGCACCCTAAGTTTGCAGCATTAGAATATTCATTGTTATAACATCATCAATACAATCATTTCCTCATCACTTCTTTCCTCCAACTCCTCAATTATAATTCCAATCTTATATATAAACATTTTTAAATTAGAATGAAAAAGTTATGCATTTATTACATTAATTTTTTAAATGATATCACTAATGTGCTATAGTAAAAAATAACCATATGTCCAGAAATTTCACTTTTGTTTTTTAAATAAGGACTTGATCTTACGACAGTGTAGCTAACACTGACCACGAAATATATGGCTATACCACTTTCTTCAAGGACAGCTGCTTTCGGAGTAAAAAGCATAAAAGCTTGAGAGCAAGAGATGCCAGGTTCTATCTTCAGCTGTCATCATTGGTCTAATGAACCTGTATTTTGAAGGTGCCCTCTACTGACGAACATCACCATTTAATATTAATCATCATTAAAATTCAGACCAAAAGAGAAATTAGTTCACTATATTATTATAGATAGAGCCACAAGTCAGGATAGTTTCGAAAGATTAGTCGAAAAATCAAATCGCGACAGCATACCTACCAATGACTGTCCATCACAATTTGATGTTAGAAAAGCCATTAGATATAACCTGAGATTTTTTATTTTTCTTCTAAATGATAACTGTAATGATTAAACAATTTAAAAGCAATGAACACTGTTTTGGACTGTAGCTACGAAATAAACAAAACTAAATTTCTTTTAAATCTATCTTTTATTCTATTCGAAAATAAACCGTTCAATTAGAACCCATTAAAAAATCCAAGCAACAAATTTTTCATCGAACAAGCTAATAAAAAGAATTACAAAAACAAATGATATTGATGCATGCATGTTACAAGATTCATTGCTAAACAACTAAGTTAGAGGCAAAAGGTTTCGCATAGCAGACGATCAGGCGCCAACATCCCGCCCGGCGTTGAAATACTAATTTCATACAAATTATTTAACAGTTAATACAAATTATTTAAAAAATTCAAAGTTTGATACATATATCAGTTAGAAACAATTAAATGTAATAATATATCTATTACACGAATAACAAACAAATTACTACATTACAATAAAATAGAAATGCAATATTAATACAGTCAAAAGTCGTTAATCCGGACTCATCGGGACTTCGCCGATTCCGGATTATCGATTTTTCCGGATTATAGATCATCAGTTTAAATCTGGTAAGATGGCATGCAGAAATTACAAAATTAAAAATATGAAACCGTAAATTTATGAAATAAAGAACAATATGATCTAAAGGGTATCAAAATTTACAAAAAAAAAAGCTTAATATTTATTTGTTTACTTTATTAAACATTTCTTTCAATGTAAGTTGTTTAAGTTGCTTCGTTTTATGTGATAATACTTTCTCTTTAATTCTATTAAGCAGACATAATTTCTTGTTTAGTTACAAAGTTCCGCTGTTCAAGTCCTATAATTGCTGTGTCGAGAATACCGACTAATTTGTCAATCGCAATTTTTTCGTTTTCAATAACCTCTGTCACTTTCTTCGCATCGGAAGCAAATTATAATGACGAGGAATTTGATTTAAATCATATCAAAGACGGAGTACATCGAGATGAAATATTACATTTAGTAAGGAATTATAAGCCAAATAAAATAAAAACATCTGCCCTGAAGATAAGGATAGTGCTGACGATCAACTTCCAATTCATTGCGCGCCAAGACGTCCCCCCCCTCGTGCGCAGAGCAGCGTAAACAAAGTTTAGATAAACAGATTTCGGAATGGTTAAGAGAAACAAAGGATATGACTTTATCCATTTTTTGCAGCAATTCCACTTTTTATTCGTTAATGGACATTGAAGCATACTTTCGCCTTTGTAGATCTTTACATATTAGTAATATATATATAAAATATATATCAGAAATTCTATTTGACATAATTGAAAGTTCAAGCTTACTTTTATAAAATTGCTCTAACAGTCTACAAAAAATAATAAGCCGAATCCAATTCGAAGATTAAGGAACAACACAATCTGGAACATTAACTGAATTAGATAATTTTAGCTTAGCTTATACCGTCTGTTATACATTAAACGCGCATTCGTAAACGTATTTTGCGCACACGCGTATTCGTAGCCGTCAAGGTCTTACATGCTTGATGCCTGCGCAGAAAGTTTGTAGCTTTGAGGTCCGGATTATAGATCATTCCGGATTATGGGTGTCCGAATTAACGACTTTTGATTGTACAAGTAATTATAATATAAATTCACTACATCAATCGTTCATAGGTAGATTACACAGGTTCAATATTCCACGTTTTATCAGTCCTTGAGGCATTTTGATAACAACAACATGGACTTTGCCATTGCTTCCAGGAATGGTGTCATAGATACGGCCTACTATCCACGTACATAGAGGTAGTTTATCCTCTTTAATTAATACAAGAGTACCTATCTTTATATTATCCTTCTGAAAGAGCCATTTACTTCTCTGTTGAAGATTGTTTAGATAATCTCTGGACCATTTCTTCCATATTATTTGGTTCATTTTAAAAATTTTCTGCCAGTGGGAAAGTCTATTGTCGGGAATTTCTGTTATACAAGGTTCAGGTAGAGCATTAAGAGGTCTTCCAATTAAAAAATAATCAGGGGTCAAAGTTTCATTGGATCTGAAGATAAAGGTAATAGAGGTCTACTATTTAATATACCTTCAATTTGATTTACAACAGTCAAAAATTCTTCGAGAGTCAATTTTGCATTTCCGGTAGTTTGTTTTAGATGATGTTTAAAGGATTTCACCTCGGCCTCGTTTTTACCACAGAAGTTGGGAGAATGTGGTGGATTGAATTTCCAAATGATTGATTCAGAAGCTAAATATGACAACAGACTAGGGGAACTTTTGACAAGGTATAACAGCCTTTTCAAATCGGTGTTGGCCCGACAAAGTTGGTAGCGTTATCCGAATATATAATTGAGCTAAGGCCACGTCGCGCGAAAAATCTTTTTAATGTTGCAATTACAGCCTGCCATGTTAGATCTGTAACAAAATTGAGATGTATCGCTCAAGTAACTAAACATACAAAAATAACAACACATATCTTAGTTAAGGTACCTCTTCATTGATTTTTATATTTTAAGTAAGAAGTTCTGCACAAATCAATTGCAGTTACGGAAAAAGGGGGACTCACAGAAACTCTTTCCTTCGGCAATGGTGCCATAAGTTGTTGGGCTATTTTAGGTTTATTTTTAAAACAGATAATGCAGTTATGTATAATTTTACGAGCAGCGTTTCTGCCGTTTAGTGGCCAAAATTCCTGTTGAACACAATAAAGCAAAGTCTGAGCACCAACATGTAAAATTTTTAAATGGATGTGTTGCATAATTATAGTACTTAAGTTATGATCCTCTAGGACAGCAGAATAGGATGCTTTTGGTCTTAGGATAAAGATGGATTTATTTAATCTGCCACCTTAACCTAAGTATTCCATTCTTCGTCGATGAAAGGATTTAAAACTACTTAAGTGTACCTATCCTTTTATAATTTTACCATATCTAAGGGCCTCGATTTTTTTTCTTTGAATACTACTCACTGTACTAGCCTTACCATGGCTAGCTTGGCATACTTAAATTCATCTCTAGTTATAGGAACCTGATGATCTCTTACCTTGTCGACAGTTGGAAATAAACCTATAAATAAAACTAAGAATACGAATTAGTTTAACAAAACTATTACTTAAAGAAAGAAAATAGTTAATAAAATCAGCACTAGAAGTAATACTAGGAGAAATTTCTGGAAAATATTTTCAATTCGCATTCGTAAAGTTCATAGTCCTTAATATCCAAACTAGCCTTTTCTATAATATTCATGTCATGATTAGAAGGTCCATGGAACCATAATTCTGAAGATAAAAGTTCACTAGGCTCGACTCCACGAGAAACCAAATCAGCAGGATTCTCCTTAGAATGGATATGTTTCCACTCAAAGTTTTCTGATAAAGACTGAAGTTTCGCAACACGATTCCCAACAAAGGTTTTGAGTTGATGTGGTGAAGCATTTATCCCCGCTAATGCAATTGTAGAATCCAAATATAATGTTACCTTTTCAATGCCTATATTTATAGAAGTCAGAATTTTTTTAACACGCTTAGCAAGTAGAAGACAAGCCAAGAGTTCTAAGCGTGGTAAAGATAGAGTCCTTAAAGGGGCTACTCGAGATCTGCTTGCCAGTAACTTTAAACAAGGGTTATCTTGAGTGGCACTTAGGTAGACCACTGCTGTATACGCAGATGTTGAAACATTGGAGAAACCTACGATAGCCCTTTTATTGGTTGTAGAATGCAGAGCATATCTTCTTATCTTAAGATTTTCTATTCCTTTAAAATGAAATGATTCCATTCACTGGCAAATGGTTCAGGTAATTCATCGTCCCAGTTCAGTTTTTTAAGACCATAGTTTCTGAAGGAATACTTTTGCTTTACAGATGACTGACCCGATAAAGCCAATAGGATCATACAACCACGCAATTACTGAAAGAACATCTTTTTGTAAAAAATGACTAGCCTTGGAAAGCGACTTTAAAAGTAAAGATGTCGGATTCCGGTTGCCAAATTATGCCAAGAGTTTTCGTAAATTCAGTGGAATCAAAGTGAAATTTTTTCCTTAGATATTAAAGTGTCTAATACATTCTTAGAGTTAGATTGCCATTTGTGTAAAGACATTCCACGGCTGTCGAATATCTTTATTAGTTGATTCTTTAATTCAATAGCAGACTCAAAATCAGAGGCTCCTGTGACTATGTCGTCCATATAGATGTCAGAAAGAATTACTTCAGAAGCTAAAGGGTATTGCTGCTGTTCATCCAAAGCTGTTTTAAAGTTCTTATAGCTAGAAATGGAGCACATTTAGTCCCATACATTACAGAATTCAATCTAAAAATAATAGGTGAGTCATCTTCATGCTCTTTCCATAAGATATGTAGAAGATTCCTTTGCGATGAATTGATTAAAATCTGTTTAAACATTTGTTTAATGTCTGCAACCAGTGCTATTTTATGTTTACGAAATCGAACAATTAAATCAAAAATATCTTCTTTAACCTCTCCTGAGAGTAAAATGTTGTTCAGACTCAATCCTGTAGTAGTAGAAGCTGATGCATTAAACACAATGCACAATTTCATAGATGATTTTTCAGGTTAGTAAATTTCATGGTGAGGAAAGTAGAAAGTAACGGGTGGAGGATTTTCTTCTTCAACCCTTTCCATGGGATTTAAGCAGTGGCGGCTCATAATAAGCACTGTGGAACTGCAGCACCCCTATTTCCACTTATTATTATTTTTAATATTTAATATAGTGTTCCCTTTAATCTTTAATTCTTTCTTTATACTTTTAAAATACATAATCCGTAAGCTTGACGTCAGTAGCCATTCTCCAGTTTGTGAGAAATTTACGAAAGTCTGTGTTTGGAACTGCGCGCTTCACAGTTCCAGCGACGTGGTGTTTGTTGGAAAATATAACTTACTGTAAACCTTTTACTGCATTATCTCTCCTCCTTGAAATGTTTATTTAGTTTAGTTCTTATTTTAATGTAATATATTAGTTACTTCTTGTTTTTACTGCCACTGTTTGCGTTGAGAACGGACTGTTTCAGCCTAATTAAGATGCAAAAACGAAAGTGATGTTGTCATCTGGAAAGCCGATTCGTGCCAATAGCTGATTGGTTGCTGCGAGATGACGTCATGCATACTTCTAGATATAGGTATCTCGCGTCGCTCTGGCTCAGTCCTCCTTCCAGTTCTCCTCCTTCTAGTTCCTGCTTTCCTGGCACTTGAGTGAGCGGTTGCCAGCCCCTTCAGAAGGATGCATGCAGTCCGGTGAATAAAGATCCTTGGCTCCTGTTTGCGGGATGGCTGTTCCTGAATAAAGTTCCTTGGTGCCTGTCCGCGGGATGATTGTTTCAGAATGAGTTCCTTGGTTCATATCCATAAGATGGTTGTTCCAGAATAAAGCTCCTTGGTTCCAGAGATTTCTACCATGTGAGTGACTGCCGTGGGCGGCATCCATGTTCTTCAATGAAGATGGCATTTAAAATACGTGAGCGGCGATTCCTTCGTGCAAACGGAGTTAGGCCTGGATTTTAAGTGCTTTCAAGAACTTCATTTAAAATTTTCAGGTGTTTTCTCAACCATTGATCAGGGACGTTTTGAACTGTGTAGCCAACTTCATTTTTAAGGCCGCATAATTAATGTTTAGGACATTTTTGTTTGTATTGAATGCCAGTGTTTTGGAGACCAGGTAAAAATATTATTTGATGAATGATGGTTATATTATATTTTTCCTAAGACTCTGATATTGTTTGAAATTTATTTTCAGTGTTTTTATTCTTTTATTATATTGTTAATAAATTGGTTAAGTCAAATTGAAACCTTCTTTATTGTATTCAATGTCTGCACAAACATATTATCTCAGGGAGCTTTTATTGTTACTACTGCTCAATGTTTAATTTTATAAACTTTAAACTTTGCTTTAGCATCAGTGTTTGGCTGTTCTGCACATGCGCACACAGAAAACAGCACGCAAGCCAGGTAGAGCGAAGAGCACTGTCGCTCTTGCAGTGCTGCAATTCTGGCATGTTGTTGAAAAGTTGATTGGCTTTTACTCCGCGCGTGTGGTATTCCTCCACAAAGTGGAACTTCACCATAAATAGAGTTCATGAAAATGTGCAAAAAAAAAATATAAAATAATAATATATAAATATAAATAAATATGCTTTAAAAGTTGACTTACTGAAATTCAATCATCAATGCAGTTCAAACTATTGCAAAAGCAACAGGAATTTAAAAATATTTAAATGAGGATAATTTCAAATTTTGGTTAGAGCTTTTTTATCAGATTATGCCTCATGTTGAAATAATATACGACTAAATGCAATCCAGAGAAACTAGTGTGTTTAAAGTTAATGAATATGTAACATATTTCAAAACTGGTATTTTAGAATTAAGAAATTCAAAGTACTGTAAGAATTTTTCAAAGACACTGATGGCAGAAGCTAAGGAAATATGTGACTTTATACTATGTATTGATATAATGTGCAGATATTCTTTCACTAAACACTTAGCAGCTGCTAAATTGTTCTGATATCCATGAATACTGCAAATTAATTGAGCTACTGAAATTTATCTTCGAAAACAATCTAGATGATGTTCTTAGTGAAATTGCGAAACTGATACAAATTCTCTTGAGAGTTCTCAAGACTATATCAGAGGCAGAACGCTGCTTTTCAACATTGAAAAGAATGAAAACTTTTTTAAGAAGCACTAAGAATTCGGAAAGACTAATGCGCTTGTATTGCTTTTAATATAGTAAAATATCCTCAGTTGTCATCCAGAGATCAAGGACAAAATTATTGATCATTTCGTGCAAATTAAAACAAGAAGAAAGGATTTCATTTTTAAATGAATAGACAAAGATTGAACTGTAACAATTTTGGTTAAAGTAATTAAGAAATGTTTAATTTTTTTCTTGGAAGATTTCATGAAGTTTCAAAATAAATTTTCTTTTTATACCTGTTCGTTTCCTTTTACACAATTTTAAAACAAAGGTTAAATTTTTTTGGAACAGCACCCCCACTAATTTTAGCTACAAGCCGCCACTGGATTTAAGCTTTTGTAATCATTGATAAAATCGGTATAAAGCCTTTTTAGGTCTGGGTTTTTATTTAACCTTTTAATCGTCTGAATAAGACGTTTATTAGAATCTTTATTAGAATGTTTTTTGAATCACCTAATTGATGAAGTGCTTCTTCTCGAATAGGCATCTGTACTATGAAACGCACACTCTCGTTTCTCCAATGTGTCTTCTGATAATGCAATTCGCAAAACTCCTCTTCTTTGCTTTTAAGGGGTTCTTTGGCTATTTCTTTGATTTGCCAAAATTTATGTACACATTCTTCAAGACTTTCCAAATGTGAGATTAGCCCACTGATGTGAATTTTCAGTTTCAACAAATCCACTAGCAATAAATCTGAAGATTGAATCTTGGAAAAGTAAAGTACTAGATAATCGAATCTTTCGCACCTTCACTAATTCGAAAAAATTTTCAGCACCCAATATGAGGTTGATCCTTCCTGGCTTGTCAAAATCTGGATCTGCTAAGTATATATGCTCAGGTGTTTTCAGATTTTCTACATTTATTCTGGTAGCAGGTACAAAGTCTGCTATTTTAGGTACAATGAGAAGGTCTATTATTGAGTTGAAAGAAGAGTCATTATTACTAATGAGAACGTCATTTAATTTCCATTTAATATTCATCATATTTCTACTTAAACCCATTAATAGGAATATTTACCTTATATTTGTTAAGACCAAGCGAAGAAATGAACTGCTAGGTCATAAAATATGATTGACATGCACTGTCCAGTATCGCTCTGCCACTAATATAATCACTCCGAATCGGTGAACAAACCTTAACCATGGCTGTAGAAAGCAAAACTTTTTTTTTTTTTTTTTTTTTACATTTTATTTAAAGATGCAAAACTGTTGCTTCAATTAAGTTTGGATTTTTTATTACATCGGGCGAACTAGGGTTCTTTTTGCTCTGCATATTACGAGCATCTGCAGTCTCTGAAATGGAAAGATTTTCCGACTGCAAACTTGGCGAAATATCTTGATCTGCCGAAGTTTTTTCACACAAGGAATTTTTAGTTTCAGACCTACACAATAGATAATTGTACTTTTCTTGGCATAAACGACAAGAATATTTGGATTTGCATGATGCAAGCTTATGTTTATCACTTAGACAGTTTATACAAAGTGCATGTTTTTTAGTAATATTAAATCTTTGCAATGGAGTCATTTTTAAAAATAAAGAACTATTATATACCAAATGTGACATTTTACACAATATGCAGGAATTGCTGTTCGACTTTAACAGGAAATGTCTGGCTTTATTTGCATAAGAAGTTTTAGTTTTTAATGATGGCAATTGAACTCCATGTAAATTTTCTACATTTGGGATCGTTTTTCTAAATATTCCATGAACCTTCCGAATTTGGGTAATTCAGTCGATGTTAAACTCATTTCATATTGTTTTGTTGTTTCTTTATCTAACTTTTGAATAACAATATTTATAAGGAATTGATGTGTTAGTTCATTAGCTTCTAATTTCATTAAGTTTAAACCTCTTAGGTTCTTGTTCAAAACATCAACTAGATTTCTAAGACTCTTATAAGATTCAACATGTAATTTCTCAAAATTTAAAATATTCATAATATGAGAATTAACAATCAACCGTTTATTTTCATATCTATCAATTAAAACCTCAAATAAAGACAGAAAACCATCTTCTGGAGTTTCTACAGCTTTCGCGTCTCCTTTTAATGCAGAACGTAAATAGAACAATTTTTTAATATCATTTAAAGAAGAGTTATTTCAATCAAACTATCAAATTGTTTTTTAAAATTACTCCAGTTCTCAATACAACTGTCAAATTCTGGTAAGCTTAAATCAGGTAACTTAATATAGATAGACTTAGGATCCTTAATATTATTCGTTAAAGATTTATCAACTAAATCTGAATTTAACAATAATGTTTGTAAGCTTACTTTGTTTCTTCTAAACGGTCTTTCATTTCTTCAAATTCTAAATCCCCACTCGATAAATTTTCATCATCAATGACATCATAATATTCCAGTTGCAACGATTCAATCTGAGATAACATGTCCGAAACCATATTCAATTTGATTTGAAGGCGCATCTTGTCAGCATTCAAATTTGAATCTTTCAAAAAAGTTTCCAATTTCATAATCCTAGTTTTAAAGTGTCCCTGACATCGATTCAGCACTTTTAGTTTTTCATCTAATAACAATACTGTAGAATTATCTCTACTGTTCAGGTCATCATCTGCGTTAGTCATTTTCGTTTTTAATACACGATCAAACTAAAGTTTTTATTGCTTTTAACGTTCGGAACAACAATTTATTTGGCCAATTCCACTCCAGCTCGATGGACCACTGTTTTGGACTATAGCTACAAAATAAACAAAACTAAATTTCTTTTAAATCCATGTTTTATTCTATTAGAAAATTAACCGCTCAATTAAGAGCCATTCAAAAATCCAAGCAGCAAATTTCTCATCGAACACACTAATAAAAAGAATTACAAAAACAAACGATATTGACGCATGCGCATTACAAGATTCGTTGCTAGGCAACTAAGTTAGAGGCGAAAGGTTTCGCATAGCAGACGATCAGGCGCCAACAAATACATTTCTTAACTTGTAACATTGTTGTATTTTTAATAATCTCCCTATATGGTATATATAATATTATTAGTTATTATAATATAACCAACAACTTTGTGTTGAAAATTTGCACCATCATTGAAATTAATAAAAAATATTTTAATGCCCTGCATTTATATACTTTAACATAAAATAATCATTAGTGTTACAGCATGTTGTCAAAATAGTTATCGGGCAACCGATGATGTTGCTAGCTTGACAATCCAGGTTATGCACCTATCACATCTCTTTTGGTGGTGTAATGCTGATGCTAATGCTGGATGATGCTGAGTTTGTGTTAATCTCTGATCTTTTTTTAGCTAAAACAGATCACTGTGTACATGGAGAACAGCAGGAAAAAAAATAAGTCTTTTATTACCAATGCTTCTTGCTTTTTCAGTTTTATTGATTGGTTGCTGTTATGTGGAATTTTTAATGAGCCACCATTTTAAAAATGTCTGTTGGCTTTCACACACTAGCTTGACATAAAATGAGTCGCTAACAAGTATATGATTTTTGACAGGAGGCACATAATAAGAAAGCACCTTTATTTCATTACCTGATTATTCACATGATAAAAAATTCAGCAACTTTCAAATGAAAATTTTCCAATTCATTCAGAATTTATAGAGTTACACACTAAATGCTCTTTTCAAAACAGTGTCTAATTCTATTTCTTATGGCAATAAAAAAGGAAAAAACTTATAAAAATCTATGTTTACTGAATACTCCTTTAAATTGCATAAAATCTCTGCTATTATCACAATGCACTCATGAAAAACATTTGAGTCAAAATGGTATTTGAAAGCAGGAGATTTTGTGTAGTTCTAAAACATAAAATAATGCATGTTTTTGGAATCCTCTTAATCAGATGACATGTTTAATTTGTGAGAAGAAAGCTTCATTTAATTATTTTAAATTTTTGGGGCTGTAACATTAAGTGCAATAAAATTATTTTAAGCTATAAAATGAGAGAGAAAATCTGATTACTTACATGGAGTCGATACAGTAGTTATGGAAGACAATGGTTTCATAGATGAGACTGATGGTGACAATCTCATAGTACTTTTTAACTCACATGTAGTTTTAACATCAGAGACAGTAGAAACTTGCTCTTCCTGGGCTACTGTAGTAACAGAAGATAGCGAAGTAGGTCTGCTTGCTAACAAATTTGTTGATAATTGGTCAAAGGTTGAAAATGTAGTAACAGTTGATGATGACTTTAACATTACCTGCTGTAAAAGAAAATATAACTGTGAACTTATTTTTCTTATGGTTTCATATCATACAAATTTATCATTTATTTAAGACATTTCTGAAATTTTCTCATTATTTTTTACATTTCAGTTTTTTATTTCATTCTTTTACTTATAATACCAATACATGCAGAAAATATGGAACTGACATATTGTCCTATTGACTGGATAAGTTGCCAACCATCGAACCATGAAAGTTGGTGGAGATTCTGTTGTTCAGAGGCCAATATTTAGAGTAAAGAAGCCATCGTAGGACAACACACTTTATTTACACCAATAATTAATAAAAAGATCACACAGGAAATCATATTGACCATCACACAGCAAATAACATCTCAACATATCCCTACGCTCGAAGCTCGAATGACGGATGTGTCGGGAGAAGAGACAGCTACGCCATCATAATTAATACGAATGCGCATAAGAAAAAAATGTTCGCTCGCCTCTACCCAACACACCCCTCCTGCGAGCAACATTTTTTTCAATACAAAAATGAAATACAAACAATATATAACATATTACATTAAGAAATTAAAGAAATTATTTTCAATGTATACATTAATTTTTCTTCACTGACACTCTTAGTATGAAAATCTGCAATCATATTATCAATTTGTGAATATTTCAACTTAATAACATTGTCCTTTGTTAAGTCCTTCATAAAATGAAACCGTAAGTTCATGTGTCTGGATTTCGTAGAAGATCTGGCACAGTTGATCCACTGGATGGCAGCTTGACTGTCTGTATTCAAGACCACTGCACCATTCAAAAATTGTTTACATTTTAATTATGATAATAAATTTACAGTCAAAATACAGGGGTTGGACAAAAATATGGAAACACCTTTAAAAAAACATGTTGATCATGGGATGAACTTGATCGGCCAAAATGTTCACATAAGTCTTGGCAGTCATGTGCCCTGACACAGTTATCATGGGGCTAGCAGAGAACCACGATATGGCTGCCCAAACCATAACAGAACCCCCACTATGTTTCACTCTTGGCAACAAGCAGTCTGTATTATAGGCTTGAGATGGCGTTCTCCAGACGTAAACTCGGCCAGAAGTGGGAAACAATGTGAAAGAAGACTCGTCAGACCATATTACTCGCTTCCACTGCTCTATAGTCCAGGCTTTATGACTTAAACACCACCTTTTCCTGTTACGGGCATTAGCATCACTGATGAGTGGCTTCTCAATTGCACAGCACGGCCAGCAATTCCCTATTTATGAAGCTCCCTTCTAATTGTTTTGGTACTCACAGGGTTCGGTAACACAACATTCATTTCAGCAGTAACTTTTGCAGCTGTGTGGTCTTCTTATTTTTCGTCACAATTGCCCTTAATGATCGTCTGTCACGATCACTCAGGACACACTTTCGTCCCGCGCTGTGTGATTTAGCAGATGATGTTTTTCCGCTTTTCAAATATGCGGAATAAATCTTTGATACAGTACCTCTTGAAACACTAAACACCTCGGCTACCTTGCTTACGGAAGCACCTACCATATGTGCTCCAACAATTTGCCCACGTTCGAAGTCTGTTAACTCTGACATAATGCAATGACAACCTCACATAACAGTACTTCGACAACAACTGAACTGTTTAGCACATTTACGAAGTTGTATAGGTGGCGTCAGTAGTCAAAAACGCCAGCGCCACCTACATATTTCATTAAAATCAATCTTTCTTTTCAAACATGCATTTCACAAGGTGTTTCCATATTTTTGTCCATCCACTGTAATATCCTTACAAATTTCAGAAATAGAAAATAATTCTGCTTTACAAGTAGACAGACTAACACTTCTCTGCTTATCAATGAATCACCTAGTAAAATAGTACCACCAGAAAATGATTTACCATTTTCTGCATTTCCCCAGCTAGCATCAGCATATGCATTTAAAACTCCAAAATCATTGCTATAGAAAAGTTTTTTTTATTTTTTGTACCTTTTAAATACCTTAATACCCTTTTAGCCAAAAGATAATGCCTTTTTTCTGGTACATGATTAAATTGTGACAAATAAGTTGTTACAAATGATATATCAGGATGTGTTTCTATTCGCTAAATATAAAAGTTCCCACAATTAATTCCTGATACAAAAGTTGCATCAATTTTTTCATTTGTACCTGAAAAACCTTTATCTGCCCCTTTAACGATTGGCATTTTTACTGCTTTACAATTTTCCAGATTGTGTTTAGTCAATAAAGATTCAATATATTCTGTTTAAGACAAACATATACCATTTTCAAGTTTTTCTATCTGCATTCCCAAAAATTTTGAATTAGTATTTTTATGTAACTCAAATACATTTTTAATTTTAGAAACAATATTTTCAAGCATTTCCTTATTATTACAGATTACAGCTAAATCATCAACATACAAACACAAAATAAAAATGTTTTTGGTATGTTTTTGGTATAAATGAATATACAATTATCAGATGCTAACTGTATCAGCCCAAGTTTTTCTAATTCAGTTTTTATTTTCATATACCAATTTCTACCCGATTGAGGCAACCCATAAATACTTTTCTTCAATTTACATACTTTACCTTCTCCAATCAGTTTTTCATAACCAGGTCGAGTAGTCATATACACATCCTCGTTTAAGTCACTGTACAAGTATGCTGTTTTTACATCATAAAATTTAACAGTCAGGTTTAATTTAGCTGAAAGTGCAAGCAATAATCTAAAACATTCAATGGTAACTACTGCTGAATATGATTCGGTACAATCCTTACTTTTTATTTGATTAAACCCAGCCGCTACTAATAGCGCTTTATATTTTACTTCCCCAGAGTCTCCTTCCTTCAAAGTCACCCACTTACTTTTTACTAATTTTGTTTTTTCAGGCCTCTCTACTGTTTCCCACATTTCATGCTTATGTAATGAATCTAATTCTTTTTCCATTGCGGATTTCCAGTCATACCAATTGGCACTTTATTTTGCTTCTGAAAAATCATTCGGAACATTACTGATTATACTTGACGCCTAGTTGTTTTGATTTGAGCCTCTCGGATGGATCGTCTTAATGGTATTTTATTTCCATATTTATTACTTTTTTCATAGCTATCAGATGTTTGGACTTTATTCCCCCTGTCATATCAGATGTTTGGACCCCCGCTACAACGGCTCATGTCGGCGATTTCGAAATTCGATGAGTCATCATATTTGCTTGCTTGAGTATTTCCCGTAACAACCAATTCGAGGTGTGGTTTTTTGCTTTTTGTTTTTTGACCTACTTCGTTGTCCTTCCCGAAATTCCTTTTAATTCTTCAATATCCCAAGTTTCTAAGGTTTTATTTTTCCCCCCCCATATAATTACTACCTTTTAAAGATTCGTTAAATTTAAATTGAACTGATCGTTCTTCAATTATTTTATTACTTGCTATATCATAAATACGATATTCTATTTTCTTTCTCTAGCATATCCTAACTATTAACCCTCTTTTTCCTCCGTCTTTTATATGGTATGTCAAATTTGTTTCGCATTACTTTCGGAAATGTGAAAGTATGCCACACATCCAAACTTTTTTAGATAGTTTAATTTGGGTTTTTTACCAGTCCAAATTTCTAAAGGAATTTTTCTTTTCCTTTCTTTGGTGTTAAATTTGATACTTGAGTACTAAAATTAATTTGCTTCTGCCCAGAAATTTACCGGAAGCTCACTCTCATGTAGTAAGTAATGTCCTAGCTCTTTCCTAGAAGAACTCTGTTTGCCCGTTCAAGCTTTCCCATTACTTCTCACTGTTATATGGAATTGTTTTTTCATGAAAAATACCTGAATTAGCAAGATAATTATCTAATTGTTGATTTACAAATTCTAAACCATTGTCCGTTCTTAAACGTTTCATTCATTTACCAGTTAAATTTTCATACTTAGCTTTAAATTTATAAAATGCGTCAAATACTTCACTTTTACTTTTAAGAAAATAAGTAAAATACATTTCAGAAAAATCATCCACTAAGATCATAAAATATTTAGACCCACTAATTGATTCAGTTTGAACAGGGCCACATAGATCCGAATGAATTAATTCTAAAATTTCTGAACTCTGGATTAATGTCAATATTTGGATGACTTTTTTCCTATTATTTTACTTATGTCATAAGTTTTACACTTAAAATCACTTACATCATTAATATCAGTATATTCTTTCATTTTAAGCATATATTTTGGATTTCAAATGGCACAGTCTACTATGCCAAAGTTCATAATTATTACCAGCTACAATTATTAGCAATGCAAGATTCAGAATTATAATATGGTTCTAAATTAACTTCAAGCCTACCATTATTCTTAAATGTAATTAATTACACCTAGTAAAAACTAATACAGAATTATTCCTTGATTCAATTTTACATCCTTTATCTATTAATGCAGTGAGTGACAATAAGTTACTTCTTAAATCAGAAATATAACTAACATTACTAATAGTTAAATTAATAAAAATAGAATTCTTTGTATTTATAATTTTTGCTCTAACAGTACCAATACCTTCTGAAAATATTTTTGAATGTTTACCTGCCTGGTAAATCTCCCTCACCTCTGGTGTAATATTATGAAACCAAAAAAAGTCTTTTCCTATGTGTCCAGTTGCACCACTATCCAGCAACCAAATTTTATCACATTCATCATTTTTCCCCCGCGTAAGTTGAAGAGCAAAATCACTTTCTCTTTCATCAGAATGAGATGAAACGTTCACACTTGTAGATTGTGACTTCTTTCTTTCCTTGTTACCTTTGGATAACTCACTTTTTGGATTCTTGTTTCTGTAATAGCAGCCCTTCGCTATGTAAGCAGGCCGTCGGCAAATGTAACAAATTCTTGGCTTATAGTTTTATTCCTCCTTGATATGAACGCCTCTGCGTTGGTTCCATCAGGTCGTTTCCCATCTGTTGAATTGTGAACGGAATCTTCCTCACGGAGTATTTCGAGTACTTCATCAATTGTTTTTTCCCGCTGAGTTTTTACAATTTCCCTAATTCGAGAGAATTTTCCACGAAGTCCACGAACTGTGTAAAACACCAGTTCCCGAGGAAATACATCCAGTCCTAGCGATTGGCACTTAGTTGCTATTCCTCTTGCTCTTGCGATATAATCATTAGCCGACTCATGCAACTTCATTTCTAAATTTTTTAACTCATTACCAGCATCTATTTTTCGATCTTTGGCTTGTCCCGTAAATGTTTACTTTATTTTTTCCCAAAGAATTTTTGCATTCTCTTCTGTGGAGAACTGAAGTGCCTGTTGATCCGATAGTAAAAGTTTTATATATGCTACGGCGTCAGCATTTTTCTCATTCCACAATCTTTCATCTTTCTCGTCTAAGTTTTCTGGTTTTACTGTTGAAATTACCGAGTCAAGTCTTTTTAGTGATAAGGCAGCTTTAATTTTCAATGCCCAAATAAAATAGTTCTCTCCAGTTAATTCGGGAACGTTCCACTTCTCCATTTTTGGCTTCCACTAAGACAGTTTCGGTTTCGACTTGGTATTTTATATCCAATTCTTCTTGACAAAACCACGCTCTGCTACCATTTGTTGTTCAGAGGCCAATATTTAGAGTAAAGAAGCCATCGTAGGACAACACACTTTATGTACATGAATAATTAATAAAAAGATCACACAGCAAATAGCATCTCAACATATCCCTACGCTCGAAGCTCGAATGACGGATGTGTCGGGAGAAGAGACAGCTGCGCCATCATAATTAATACGCATGCGCATAAGAAAAAAAAACGTTCGCTCGCCTCTACCCAACAGATTCCAACAAAGCTGCGTCAAATATCTTGCAGAATTCTGAGCAGCACTTCTATCTGTAACTCTTACAATAAAACATTTATCAGTCTCTTTGCACAATCCATCTAATACCAACTGTGGTGGAAATATTCAACCGACTCCAATTTTGCACTACCTAAAACTCATTATTGACTCCTATATTTTGTTAGACTCCCTAATTTTATAGAAGCTCTGTTTAGAATGTCTGTTCCCTCACAGGAGGCAACAGTGCCTCCCTAATAAAATGATCACCACTTCTGGCGCTTAGTAGCGAAGAAAGCCTAAAAATGGCTAGTACCAAAAAAAAAAATGGCTAATTAAAAAAAAAAAAAAAAGACTTCCCAGTTGTTCTAGTAAAATATTTCTGCGGTCCCCTTTCACTTTGGAGCACTATAATGTGTTTATATTGCTATCAAATTTTTACATTTCTTTAATTATTAATCCAGCCCTCGCATAAATCATCATTATTCTAAAAAACGTATTAAAAAACTATAAACTTCCTGCAAGCAATTGTTCCAATCTACTCCTGTGTTATCAGCCATATTGAGCTGCTCATTTGCCCCTTCAAAAGAGGTTAATTCTCACGACTCACTCGCTGTAAATGAACCGGAATGCAATCACCAATGCGATTCCACAGCTCTTAATTCCATTCTTTTTTGAATGAATATTCTCTTGTCACAGTTTTTTTTTTTTTTTTTGTTGCATCGCCCATATGTGGCTGTATAAAAAAAAAAAAGCATAGATGTTATGAGTGTGTTGTGACATCACACTCATCCATAATTGGCACTAAATCATGCTGCTGCTTGGTGATGGTTTTACAGCTGATAGAATAATATGATAGTACCATAAAAATAACAAGTTACTAATTCATATTAATTTATAAAACTGTAATATTATAAAAGCTCAACTTGAATTTATCTGTGAATCATGCACATAAAATTATATTTCTATTCTTAGTTTCAAACAGGGCAGGCACATAAAGATAAAAACCTTTGGAGAAGATTTGATTGGTGATGAAGCTGAAGTAACACATGTTGTTAATACAGACATGGTTTTAGGTGCATTAAAGTCTGCACATGAAACTTGAGAGACACTCTCAGTAACTGGAAAACTTTCACAACTCTGTGAAACAGGCAGTTGAGAAGGCTCAGGAACTGATGAATTAGTACTTTCAAAAGGGAATAAATTGTTTAAATACTGGTTGTCTGGTGCACTCATTTTTGATGGTGATTCTGTTGAATCAGTAGGCAGTTCTTTCCTTTTACGGCTGACCATTGTTTCCCCACCATTGCTCACTGAAAAAAAAGAGATACTTAACAGTGGGTGAACTTATAATAGTTTAAGATGAATTAATATTTACATATACTTTAAGTACATTTTAAATCACATCATTTAAACAACAACAATGCAGCTTTTAAGATAAAAATGGGAAAATGCATAATATTTATCAGTAACAGCATCAAATTTTAATAAATCAATGTATTGATATACCGTAATTCCCGGAAGAAATGCCGCGGCGTTTACGTGTTTAAAATTTAAATTTTCAGCGGGTGCGGCGTTTACGTGCACTAAAAATAAAATATTTCCTATGATGGTCATTGTACATAGTTTGGATGGCCTTGTCATTGTGCATAGACTGGTGCTGTTCCCTCACAAAAGACCACTCAGTTGCTTTTTGCGAACGTTATTTTGTTTACATTCTTTCCCTTGAACGGACTTACATGCCTTATTCACCCTAAATGAGATCTCAGAACAATAACATTCTTCCCCTTTCAAATCAACATCCTCATCAGTTCGAATAGTCTCTCTCCTCTGCCATTCGATGAATCTTCCAGGACCCATCCTCTTCCTACCCCTGCCTTTTCTGCAATTTAAAAAAATTTGAAAACAAAGACGGACACGACTCCACCTGCCTCGCAATAACGAACTCTGACGTATTTCCCCTTTCAGCATGAATGGATTTTTCTTGGCATTCTGCCAGATACAGATCCCATCAGTTTGGGTACAAGTACTTGTTGGATAGTTTTTAAGAAAGAAGGGAGCGGAAAATTTTTGAAAATGTCCCTAAACAGCACAGAAGCTATACTGCTGGTTTTAAGCTTAATGTAATTTCACGTGCTGAACAAATTAGAAATTGAGCAGCAGCTCGAAAGTTTGAAGTGGATGACAGATGTATTCGACGTTGGAGAACTGAAAAAGCACTTCTAAAAATGCCACAACAGAAAACGACCCAAAAGAAGTGGTACTGTAAGGTGGCCAAAATTAGAGGACGACACTGCAAACTGGATAAAGGAGCAACGAGGAAAGGGAATGTCAATTTCGACTGTAAAAATTCGCTTAAAAAGCAAAATTTTAGCAAAACGAATGACATAAATGATTCAAAGGAGGTGTAGCAGATTTATGAAAAGAAAAAATATTTCTGTGCGTACTAGAACAACGTTCGGGCAAATTACTAATGGACTTGGCATGATAAAAGTCATCTTTTCTAAAATTTGACAGCTATTTTGACAAAAAAAAAAAAAACTTCTTCGTACTTCGCACGGATAAAAAACTAATGGACGATCTTTTCTAAAATATGTGACAGTTGACAAAAAAAAAAAAAACTTCTTCGGTCGCAGATAAAATATGGACGAGCTTCGACTCTCCTGCAAACAGAACTGTTGATGAAACTGGTGCAAAAACTGTATCTATGTTTATGACGGGGGCATGAAAGAATGTCATTTACATGTGTATTAGCTTGTGCCTGCAAATGGTGACAAGCTAAAGCCGATGATCATTTTTAAACAAAGGACTATTCCGAAGGGAGATGGTATGTCATATATCAGGACTTGGGTTGAGTTTTTGCATCTATACGGCCCACGACGATGTCACGCGCAATTTAATCTATTGCGGCGTTTCTGTGTAATTTAAATTTTTTCCCTGCCATTTTTCTCGAGTGCGGCGTTTACGTTGATGCGGCGTTTCTGTGTAATTTTAATTTTTTCCCCGCCATTTTTCTCGAGTGCGGCGTTTACGCTGATGCGGCCTTTCTTCCGGAAATTACTTTACATATAATTAGTATTATAAATAGTAAAAAAAGTTCTAAAGCAATAGCCAACTATGCACTGTGAGCCGCAATACCAGAAGACATAAATGCTTCTCTTTTGGTATTTAATTTTTTATTATTTACTTGTTTTTTGAGATAATAGCTCTGATGTTCTGCTGGACAGAAAATAGAGGTTTATTTTAAATATGCACAGCAAACGATACACACAATATATATATATAAGATTTGGCACAATAAAACAGACACCAGCAATGACAGTTACTAAGATTGTCTGTTACATACTACTCGGTACTCTGTACATACCTGGACTAATGATACCCATATTTATTATATGCCTAAACTTACCAAATCCATCAATTATTCTTAATACAGTTTCACAAACTTAAAAACGTTTTACATATCACTTTAAAACATGAAATAATACTATTGCCATAAAACAGGGTATGCAATTAGATCCACAAACGTGCCCTTAATCATATTCAGAACTAAATTAATATAACTTTAAACCACTCTAAAGTAAATGTTCATTCTTCAGTAAAGATTTAGTTAACAAGTTAGCAATTACCTACCTCAATTATTCTTTATAAACATGCACTTGACACATGACTGGTTATTCTTTCATACACTGAGATACTGTTAATATCAAGGTTTCACTAATTACAGATTTCAGCCACAATAAAACTTGAACACCTTAGCAATAACTACATTTTCTGTTGAGGACAAAGCAATACAATTTTTTTCTTACACGACAATATAGAATAATCATTTAACATGATTACATAGTGTTAGGTGTGTATGGGCTCATAATAGATTGAATGCACTTAGGTCCGATGATAGGTTGATAAAATTTAAATAAATGATAGGTTAATAAATTTTAAAATAAAAAAAACATTTCAGAATTCCAGAAATTTCTGCAGAAATACTCATACACATGTTCACAAATAACACAAAGTACAATCAACAGTTGCACTTCAAACTACTAAGAACGTTAAACACAACAGAAGCAAAGTGTACCTAAAAATTGAAGCTTTCAATACTCTGAAGTTGTTCTAAACTAACAACTCACAACAACAACTGAGGACATATGTTCTCTCCGGCCTTATTATATTTTTCACCCGACCACTAAGATATTTCTCGTACTTTTTGCTTCAAAATTATGGAAAGGCATATGAGGGCAGAATTACGATTACAGCTACACATGAGACCAAAATGTTGTCAAGTTTGATGTAAAAAATTAGTCGCCAAAACCCTTGCCAGCTTGGCGATACCTTGCCAAATTAGCGAGATAGCCATTTACTCAATGTTAAATAGACTTGACCATATATTCTTATTTTTCCAACAGAGCATTCAGATATAATTGCATTAAAATCATCTATCCATGTACAAAATTCTTAACAATAGCAAGGAATTGATTTTCTGTGAGGGTTTGCCCTCAATCTGCATCAACATACACAGACAAATGAAAAATCTCACTACACTTTGATACACTAATTTCTTTTGGAGAAGCAGTTCCTTTAAGATAGTGAAACATTTTAAGTTATTCCTTTCGAAAACAACTTTCAATTTAGAATAATGAAAAATTAACTTAGGAACACATGCAATAACAGTAGGATTTTTTCCCAAATGACTCAAACAATTAACTGCATATAAAGTATCTGTCTAGTCATGTAAGCTACATACATCAAAGAACTAACAAATTCTTGATAAAGTCTTTTAGAAGCAAATCACTTCAGAAATTCGCTGACACAGATTTAGGCTCCACTAAAGAGAACATGCTTTGCAATTCAATGAGAACTTTTCAACAATGACAAGATATAAAACTCTTAATCTAAGGATATTTATGTTACATAAACTTTAACTGTATCTCTTGAAACTCAGAAATTTAGGCATCTTAAATTTTTCAGTTAAAAACTCAATAACTACATCAAGTTCATGATTATTTGATCCAACCATTAGCAAGTTACCCACATAAAGAATAATAATTACCTTTGAAGTGCTTTTATGGTGAATAAAAATATAAAGCTTACTGCTTAATTGCCCAACACCTATTTTTAATAACGAAATTGAGAAATTTTTCATACTTTTTTCAGTGAATTTTTCGATGAAATTTTCCGGTGATTTCAAATCATATAAACTACATTTCCTACAACAGTCATCATAATCCTTTGGATGATCCATATAAATTATTTCTCTTAGATCATCATTTAAGAAAGCAGTTTTAATACCTACGACAAAAATAGTTAAATTTTCAGGGAAAATAATCACTGGACTAAAACATAAGGCAAGAATATTGATAATAGGTGAATAAGCATAATTATAAGCAACACATTCTTGTTGCATGAAGCTGAAAGCCAGAAGATGAAAGCCAGAAAATCCACATGCATGAAATTGATCTTTTCCTCTTCTAGAACTCCTTCTAGACATCAAACATCATTGCTTTTCATAACCTGCATTTCTTCATACAAAGCCTTCTTCCACAGTTTGTTCATGATCTGGCAACATAGATATATCTTCATACAACAATGTTTCTTCATTAGCAATAATGGCTTCATACACTTCTTGTTCAGGATATCTAATTGGCAGCTTTTTCTTTCTTAAGGGACTTGCATTTTTCATTTTCTTACTATGAAATATATCCACATCGCTTTTATCTTTACCAATGCTTTCACCTAATCATCATCTTTCATCCTTTATCTCATAATCTTTAGTTTCTTTTTCAGAAAAATTAAAATTCTCTGAAATAAACTTCCTATCATCATTCATCAACTTGTCTTCATTAAACTTTACACTTCTGGATACTATGATGTGTTTTCTCAATGGATCCATTAAACAATACCCTAATGTAGATTATCAGATTAATATAATTTTCTTTGTATTTCTTTGACTCTAATTTTCTTCAACAGGCAGGTATCAACATGCATCAGTCACAACCAAACATACAGAAATAATTGTTTGCAGATATATCTCCTTATGGAGATGGGTCTTAATAGATCTGGATTCAGTATTTACCGTAAAAGTCAGTATCAACTTTTCCATCCCAATGATGCAATTGTTGTTATAGTGGTAGTCCAGAACTTTTTGTTAAATGGTAGCAATCACATTGATGATGTTTTTCACGGCTCTTGAATTTTTCTGGTTAAACTATTTAAAGCAGACTCAACACAAGACAGTTTCATATTCAAATACAAGTATCCCCTTTACAAAAGTTCACATTGTGCCATGTTGCTTTTATGAAAGACATATTTATTCCTGATTTTGCTTACCAAATGAAATTGATACCATTTCCATCCATAGAAGAACATTTCCACTTTACGAAAAAAAAGCACTTAAGGTTTCTTTGATGCCCTTTTATAAAAATTTATGGTTTTTATTTTCAAAGGGCACAGATGTTTAAGGCAGTTTTGCAGAAGATATTTAATGCTTAAAAACTACACAACCAAATTAAACATACAATATTTTATGCTGCCCTCAACGTAATCAAAATTAATGTTTAAATTACAATATATGCATATATTAAAACTACTTAAGCTTATTAAAATATTCTTACTTTCGTGGAACAAAAATAAAACTTCATTTTCAAACATATAAATTATTGCAATAGTAAAATTAAAATATCTTGCAAATGAAGAAATAATTTTAAAAAAATGAAGTATTCCTTCCATTGTAAGATACTTTGATTTGATTGTCATATTAATTTGTAATTTTAAATTACAATTTTAAAGTATTTAAATCTTGTTAACATAACACATTAAAAGAAAACTATGAAATATTACTTTCTCTACAGCCAGTTTTTCCAGGCAAAGGCAGAGTTGCATTTTTGGCAGCTTGTGCATTTGCAACAGAATCAGCAATAGCAGTAAAGGCAGTCTGTGGTGCAAGACGAGGCATTAATGGCACAAGTCGCCTGCCTTCAATTGCCCATTCAGTAGCCGTATTTGGGCCTGACAGTCTGCAAATAAAAACCATATAAATTATATGACATGGATTACATCAGCATTAAAAACCATATAAATTAACAAATTTTTTTGTAATTAAAAAAAAAAAAAAAAAAAAACATGCACTTTTGAGCCGGAAAATCAAAACTTTATTCAAAGCAACTATCAAGACTAATGCAATAACTGAAGTGCAACATTACATCTTAAATTTTTCAGAAATATGCAGAGAAATTAAAATCGGAAAAATTCTCATCGGGACTGGATTTGTATATATGCATGCATGTATGTGTTCAAGTATGCATGGATATAAGTACGTGCACGGATATGTATACACACACATAGCTACATTTCTGAATCCGGTCCTGATAACAGAAGTTCTAACTAAATTCAGTTTTATGCTACTTATTAAAACAGAAATACAGTCAAAAGTCTTTAATCCGGACTCGTCGGGACTTTGGCGATTCCGGATTATAGATCATCAGTTTAAATCTGGTAAGATGGCATGCAGAAATTATAAAATTAAAAATATGAAACCGTAATTTATGAAATAAGAACAATTATGATCTCTAAACGGTGTCAAAATTTACAAAAAAAAAGCTTAATATTATTTGTTTACTTTATTAAACATTTCTTTCAATGTAAGTTGTTTAAGTTGCTTCGTTTTATGTGATATATTTCTCTTTAAATTCTATAAACAACATATTTCTTGTTCAGTTACAAATTCCGCTGTTCAAGTTCTATAATTGCTGTGTCGAGAATACCGCTAATTTGTCAATCAAATTTTTTCGTTTTCAATACCCTCTGTGTCATTTTCATCACTACCAGAAGCAAATTATAATGACGAGGAATTTGATTTAAATCATATCAAAGATGGAGTACATCGAGATGAAATACTACATTTAGTAAGGAATTATAAGCCAAATAAAATAAAAACATCTGCCCTGAAGATAAGGATAGTGCTGACAGATCAACTTCCAGTTCATTGCGCGCTGTGACGTTTCCCCCCCTCCCCGCAGAGCAGCGTGAAATTTACAGATTTCGGAATGGTTAGAGAAACAAAGGATATGCCTTTATCCACTTTTTGCAGCAATTCCACTTTTTGTTTGATGGACATCGAAACATACTTTCGCTTCGTAGATCCTTTGGCAGCTCCAGCATCAGAAATCTATTTGACAAATCAAAAGTTCAAGCTACTTTTAAAATTGCTCTAAACAGTCTTCAAAAATAATAAGCCTGATCCAATTCGAAGATTAAGGAACAACGCAATCTGCAACATTAACTGAAATGGATAATTAGATAATTTTAGCTTAGCTTATACCGTCCGTTAAACATTAAACGCGCATGTGTAAACGTATTATGACATGCATAAAAGTACTACGCGCATGCGTCGACGCATGCGCAGAAAGTTTGTAGCTTTGAGGTCTGGATTATAGATCATTCCGGATTATGGGTGTCCGGATTAACGACTTTTGACTGTTATTTCTCTTCTTCTCTAAATTAAAAGTAAAATCTATCACTACCAACTCTTACAATTAAGTCTTTACTGTTGAATAAAATTGAAAGTTAACTCTAAAAGAATTTCAATTTAAAAAACTCCCATGTACTTCTGCAAAACTATATCCAGGGTTCGTACGCATTTCTGCACAAGGAAATTAAGTACTTTTAAGGACCATTAATGAAAAAAATTAAGGACCTATGAGCAAATGGGAACTGAATAAATTCAATTAAAAATATTATATCTATGCCTGATTGAGTAGCTTGATTATTATTAAACAAACTTAATAACATAATTATTAATATTTGAGAATAAAATAATTTTTATGAAATTTATCAAGTAGCATTTAATATTTTACACTCATAATAACTGGCCATATCTGAAAGAAATAAGTTTTTAGTTACATTTACTAACTTAGCTTTTTTTTTTGTTTTTTTTAATGTCTCCTTTGTCACCCTTGCTCAGTCTAGAAGTTTAGTAAAGATTTTAGTCAAGCACCATAGGTTAATGAGCATTAAAATCATAATCAGCAGGACATAACAAAGCGGCTGTTGCACCACTCCTGCTCGCCTATATAAGACCTGCTAATCATACAAACCTGAAAGAACCTGATGTAGGCATAGTTAGCAAGTTTTGAAATTAGCTGACCACTGTCTGAGCTGTTAGTATCATAGCTCGTGTAGAGTTCCAGGGTTGTAACTCAGTTAATAGAATTTAAGGTTCTTAGGCCCACTAAAGCATTAGCGGTGATAAGTTGTTTTTGCATTAAATCCACTAATGCAAAATAAGTTTCACATGAATTTTATATTTTTGTGTTTTACCTTGTGACCACGGTAAAGGTTAACACGTTGAGCTCGGCACCAATTTGTGTCCTTCTGTTCAGCCGGGCAAGCGATCAGCGGTGGCAATATTGCGATCAAGCGGTGCAATATTGCCGACTTAAATTATTCAATTATACAAAAAGGAAGGAGCACAAAGTCCAGTATTGTTCGAAATGTTATGATGACAATTCAAACTATGGATGCAAAGATAGCCAAAAATGTAACCAAATGTTGTTTCATATTGTCTATGTGTAAGCTAAGCCGTATTTTTGTTTAGAATGTTTCAAAAATCATAAAACTACTTTTGATTACATTTCATTGAGACTATACTTTTTTTTTTTTAACTTTAATACTGTCGGTCCGGCGGACTGATGCCAGCAAACGAAAATTCCAGAATAATATTTGTTAAAAAACCCTATTAAATATCAATCTCATAAAATTTCACAGTTTAAAAATACATGCAATTTATGACATTATTTTTAAACATATTAGGATAATTAAACATTAAAATCACAAACATAAAACTCAACAAAATAATTTGCGTCTTTTTAATTTGAAGGCCTGCCCAGACATTTTGGCTAATTTATATCGATTTCCTTCTCCTTAAACATGTTTCTAACAATTAGAAATTTGTCTCAATATGCAAAACAATGTTCTCATTAGTTTCTGTGTGTTTTAATCTCCCAACTGCTAACCTCTCCACAATGTACTACCTATGAGGGCTTTTTGATCTGGTAAAAGTTAAATAGTAAACAACCCCCCCCCGACAACGTGAACAAATTATCACTATGTCTGAAAGTAACTAAAATCAGATAATAAATTTAATAAAGGTTTAAAAAGCTTCTTATTCAAAACGAATTGGAACATATAAGCCTTTTTTCTTACGCAAACAAAATCATTTACAGTTTGTGGTGATATAATTAAACAAGAAGAGTCAAATTCAACTAAAAATATGGACTCGTGGTCAAAGACTTACAATTTTTCAATTTAATCTGGTTCAGTAACTCTATTGTCATAATAAACTCAAATGTCAAGCAGCAGTATGGAAAGACTAATAATTACAAATTATCAGAGCTGACACAACTAATGCAAAGAGCAAGTGAGGTCAGAAACACACTTGTCTTACACTCCGGAAACATTCATTTTATCACATTTTTCTGGAATCTTTTCGAATCGAGGGTCTAAAAATTTGCCTTAAAATCTTTCTAACTTTCCAAGCTTCAATGCCTAAATCCTAAAGAAAATTACCCCTACCATTCTGTAACAGCAAAAAGCCAGAAATGTTTTTAAAAAAATCGGAAGAAAAAAGTGTGAAATCAATTTTATAGAGAAAACTGATGCATTTCTGAGATTCTGATCATTCTGAGAAATGGGAAAAATTCTTAACATGAAAAAATTAAAGACATTTTTTAATTAATTACACAGCTATTTTGCTTTTGCTAAAAACTGTTTTGTTAACTGTGCTTTATAGCATTATTCCTTGCTTATTTTTCAGATTCAAAAAATTGTATAATATGTGGCCAAAATGGAACTTATAATACGACAAGTGAAAAATAAAAAACTTTATTTAATAATTTCTTAAATTGCAATTCCAATATTTACCATTATGTAATGAAATTAACAAAAAAAATCTCAAAAAATTCGCAGATCTCGGAAATTAAAATTTTTTCTATAGAAACCGATCTTAAAATCGCCAAAATGTTGATAATCGCCAAATTTAGAGCCGTTTAATAAAAGAATTCACATGCACCAAAAGGGAGAAGTTGTTTGAGAGCTCTTCATTACAAAAAATGAAATAATTTTGAAATGCCTTATGTTTCACTTCTTGCTCAGAAACTCGAGCATCCTACCATTATTTATATTACAAATAGGAAAAAATTATAACTCATGAACCCATTCAAAAAATAGCCATATTTGACAGTGAATCGCCAAAAATATTCCTGTAAAATGCTAATTCACACTCGAAATGACAGTCGTAAAAACAGACAGAAATTTCTGATGATTAAAATTAAGGATCTTCTGCCGCTTTTGGCCAAAATTAAGGACTTATAAGGACCAAAAATCGATTCCAAAAAACTTAAGGACATAAATCGATTCCAAAAAACTTAAGGACTTTTAAGGACTCTTAAGGACCGTACGAACCCTGTATGTCTTATGCTCAGACATTTTAGCTTAAAAGCTTTTGCCATTAAATACTGTTTAAAGAAGTTAAAACTGCAGTTTCAAACCTTTACTGCTCCATGCTCTCTCTTAAAAAGTACTAAAATCCCCCTTTTCAAAAGTTATTTATGCAATGCATTTAAACTAGGTAAAAGAGAAA